GAAGACGACTAGGCTGCTTTTCTCAGGTGATAGACACTGCCGAGAACACTAAGAAAAACCCTTCATCGGCTCTTCTGATTAGTAGGATGTTAATTCTGAGTACTAACTGCTACAAACTGAATGTCTGTGTGTCTCCCAAATCCTAATTCCCAATGTGATAGTATTTGGAGGTGGGGGGGTTTGGGGAGGTCATTAAGGTTTAATAAGGTCATGAGGTTGGATTGGATGGAGTTCCCATGATGGGATAAGGGCCGTTATAAGAGGAAGGGACCAGAGCACTCTCTCTCTGCCTAGTGAGGATACAGCAATGTAGGCAGCTGTCAACAAACCAGGAAGAGCCCTCACAAGAACCCAACCTGCTGGCACCCTGATCTAGAACTGTGAGAAATAGATTTCTGTAGTTTCTGCTGCTCTTTCTGTGTCATTTTTGTTATAGCACCTGGAGCTAAGACACTAATCGAATCAAATACTGACCAAGGATTCAAAGTATTTATCCTTGGCACTCATCACAGTGGGGCCATTTGAGACCAGAGGTCTGTGTGGATGACACTGTGCACAGCGAAGGCTTTGCTGTTTTCCCAACTTAGAACTCTCCCCTGGCACATGGGTGAAGCCTCAGCAGTTCACTGCTGAGATCATGCCACACTCGCCTGTGCCCTGGCTATCCTTAGTGGGCGACATTACTCTGAGCCAGGTGACCTCCAAGCCCACATTGCTGCTGTTCTTTTTATTATAATATAAGGAAAGCCCCACCAAAAGAAACATCAAGGATATCTGTGAAGGCAAAGAGAAAACAAACAATCATAACATTCTGCCTGAGACTTGGCTGTGGACTGAAAAAGGGATTATCTTACCTGTTAATGGGGCCTGAAAGTAGGGCTGCCAGATAAAACACTGGACTTCTAGTTAAATCTGAATTTCAGATAAACAATGAATCTTTTAAGTACAGGTATGTTTCCTTTGTTGTCTGGTATTTTTATGTGCTAGATCTGGAAACTCTGCCTTAGAGCCTTCCTACTCAAATTGTGGTCCCTGGATCAGCAATAATCACATCACCTGGAAGCTCGTTAGAAATGCAGAATCTCACTCGGGTTCCACCCCAGACTTACTGTCTTCATCATCTCAGACTGCTAAAACAAAAATGCCATAAGCTGGGTGGCTTAAACAACAAACATTTCTTTCTCACAGTTCTAGGGACCAGGGTGTCCGAGACCAAGATTCTGGCAGATCCTGTGTCTGGTGAGGGCTCTCTCCCTGGTTTGCAGAAGGCCACCTTCTTTTTGTGTCCTCAAATTACAGAGAGAGAGATCATCTCTCTTGTGTTTGTTCTTTTAAGAGCACTAATCCCATTTATGAGGGCTCCACTCTTCAGACCTAATTACTACAAAAGGTCCCACCTCCAAAGACCATCAGATTGGGGGTTAGGATTTCAACATAGGAATTTGGGGGGGATATAAGCATTAAGTCCACAGCACTTACTGAATCAGAATCTGCATTTTAAATGCACTAAAGTTTGGGAAGTGCTACTTTAGGATTTATGAACTATTTTCGTAGACATTATCTCATTGACCTTCACATTGTCCCAGGAGGTTGGCAAGGAAAGAGAAAGCAGGGAAGATGTTCTCTTGACCACCTTGTCTTGTTATGAGATGAAGATTTAAATGCTGATAGGGCCATCAGGCACACCTGCAATTTTCTCCCAACAAAGGGCACAGGCCCTCCTACCCTACCTCCTGCTTCCAGACCTGTTTAGCTACAGAGGCAGAGTGAGATCTGTCAGAGGTGGGTCAGGGTGGAGTGAGTGGGGGAAGCTTAGGGATAAATGTGGGTTCAAACCTTCAGGGAGCCACTGCTCACACACCCTTGACCATGGCGTCAACACTGCAGACTGCACCCTGTGGCCACCGCACAGCCACATCTCTGTGTATCCTCTTCTCTTTCAAGTCATCATCAATTTCAACGGGTGCCGTTAATTTAATAACAGCTTTAGGGGAAAATAAGACAATGTACATGGAGTACATGGACATATCCACTGTAGGAGGCATTTTGATTTTAGGATCGCTAAAAGTTGAAAGAGGTATGTTTCTGAATCAAGGAAGTATAGTAAAGAGCTATGGAGTAGGATTCAGAAAGTAATCAGGAAAAATATGGGTGGTGGAAGACACGCTTGATCAAACACTTAGGACACAAGGCACAGGAGTGGGTGCCAACAGAAGAACGTGGCTCAAGGAGTCTGACAGATAAAGCATAAAAAGAGGAAGTAATGTCTGGTCTATTGGAGACCCCATCATGCAGGTTTGAGTTCATAAACTTCAGGCATGACAGTCTCTATCAGTGCTAATAAGCATCTCTGTTCTATATCTATTAACACTCACTGATAGATTTTTTTAAAAAATAACGGTTCTGGTTATTTTATTTCCCATTGGTGATGAGGATAACTTCTCATTTTTCTTTCCTTTCTGTTTTTATTTTATACAGCCAACTCTAAGAATTTAAAAAGGCCCGTCATACTTCAAAAGTGGGAAAAAATGTTATTATCTGCATCATAAATGGATTCTTCAACTTAAAAAATGATTCAGTAGAATTTCTTTAAGTAAAAAACTTCTTTGACATGTTTGTAGATCAATTAATATTTGGATGAGAAGTGTCAATTAAACTGAATTCAACAAGTCTTTATTGGTTATCTATTTACTATGCTAGTATATGTAAAGATATATTATTAAGATTCTCTGCCAATAGAATTTTAAAAAGGGATGAAAGAAAACCTTGAAACTGTAATTGTTCAAATGAATCACAAATACCTGACAGCCTCATCTTTTAATAATATACTTATTATATAATAAAAGATATGCTACATTACATCAAATTTTGGAATATTCCTACAAATGATTTTGTTGCATTAAACTTGATCATTTCCCCCACCTGCATAAACTCATCCAATGGTATCCCATTGATCTCAAAATAAAATTCAAATCTGGTCCCTGAGTACTGATCCAGGTGTTTCTCCACCTATGTGGTCCTTTCCTAAATCTGCAGTCCAGCAGTATGGCACTTGAAGTTCACAAATTCACTGTCCTTGCTCCAGCCACTGAGCCTTTTTGTGTGTTGACCTCATTGCCATCTTATAGCGCTTAAGCCACAGAGCCTGGAACAGTGCCTGGGACAGAGAGAATGCTGAATAATACTGCTGAAGGACTGACCAACTGAAGGAATGCTATAGAACCACCAGATCTTTTATAGAGACTAGGGTCTGTTTCATTTGTTCTCCTAACTTGGGGAGGACAGTATTTAGCTGCTGTTTACTTACGAGGCAGGGTACTGTTATCAAAAAATACTGAGCTAGGATTTGAGAGATTCCCAGGTTTCACTCTTGTTAGTTGGGTATATAACCCTGTCTGGGTTCCTCATCTGCACAAGGAGGAACTTGGCCGAAGCATCCTAATCTCTTCTAGCCCTCACTTCAATGGTCTTTATCTTCCCCACTCATTTTCTTGGTGGAGTTTAGTCCCTACCCCTAACCCTGCCCACAACCATTCTTTACATTCTGTTTTGTAAGAAATTATATGTGCACAAATACCCAGTAACCTGTGTGACTATCCCTGGGACTGTAGTTCCAAACTCAGCCTTCGCTTTAGCCAAGGCTGAAAGGTAAACACAGATGGCAACAGAGCAGCTCAGAAAAAATCAAGCATTTTATTCATTAGGCCATCTGGTCACCCCTTACAGTGTCTTTCCGTATGGTCATCAGGAAAAGACACATCAGACACTGTTAATTCACAGCTGAATTTGCTGGCCAAAGGTCTTGTAGCTCAAAAGCCAGACACTGGTAAAATACTGAGTATTTTAGGGTGGCATGTTGTTAATAACATGACCAATTTCCTTCTCATAATCTAAGATTTGGATATTAATCTTTTGGGCAACTTGAAATGGTTACAGCTCTTTTTGTAGGTGTCTTGCTTTCACCTTGTTAAGATCTTCCTGGTATGGCTAATAATATCATTAACAATTAGGTGCTAAAAAATGCAGCTTAGCAGCGTAACAACACCAACGTGCACCCCACTCTCACCCCACTTAACTTCTGCAGTTTCTTCTGAACATAACGATCGCATACCTTCTTGTTCCCTTTTGAACGTAGCTGTTTCATATGCTTGAAACCGCCCAGCAAGGCCCAGAATAGACTCCCCGCTTAGTTCTCCACCTGCTGGGCAATCCCCAGACACTCCTTGAGTCCAGTTTATCAGCTGCTTCACCCACCTGCAAGCCCGCTGATGGGGGCCCCAGCAGAGTCCTCTCCTCGTCTCCTGCCCTGCCTGCCAGCTCCCAATCAGTTCCCCTTTCCAGCTTCTCCACCCTATGGAGACCCAGGCCAAGCCCATGTCTGGGCAGAATCCACAAATTCACAAATTCCATACCAAGTGGCCATAACCACGTAGCATTGGTGGGCAGAGCAGAACGAGGAAAACAGTCATCTCTTGTCAGGCTGGGACTTCCCAAGGTGTGGGGCCTATTGGAACCCTTCCCCCATGTCCCTTAGACATTTTCTTTTACCTTTCCAATGAACATTTCAATTGTTTTTTCCCTCCAGAGTGAAGGAAACCTACAGTTGAATTTTCGTTTCCTGTTTAACTTGTGATGAAAACAAGAGAAACCTGCAAATTTATGGATAAAAATAGGTTTGCTATCTTAAAGTCATTAAGTGAACATAAAAGGGCTCTTTGTGGTCTCAGGGTATCTGTAACCTGGCATCTGTCACCAGTCCTCCATCCTCATCCGGAGGCAAGACATTCAAGCGAGGATTCCACGCTTAATGGCACCTTGAGAGTAAGTGCTCCCGGGTGCCTATCAAACCTGTCACTCTCAACAGCTGTTGCTAAGTGATGACATGTCCCTCCACCCTCTGTTGCTTTTTGCATAAACAGGTCTGCAGAGTTGTGCCAGGAGAGTCTTCCAAGGCGGGACGCGCTGTGCCCCCATCCGCGTGAACATCGAGTCACCCTCACCTGGCTTTGCTGTGCCCATTCCAGCATTGCTCCTCGTTGGATGTGCCGGCGGTCACGCTCTCGTCCTTGCAGATGGTGTAGGGTAATGCCGACCAGACCTTTTTAGAGAGCTTCAATTTCTCTTTTATGTCGGTGACCTGATCGAGAAACCAAGGAAAGCAAGTGAATGTCCTCAGGCTTTGCCCATTTCTACACAAGGACGTGACGCAGGTGAAGGTTACAGAACCTGTGACGTGACCAGCACGCACTCTCTATCAGTGCTAAGAGACAGACACGGTGCTGCAGGGTTTACAGCCCAGGAAAGCCTCTGTTCCTCCCCCCTCAATCTTCCTCTAGCAGAGAGTTCTCAGGTAATTGCCTTTTTGTTTTCCATCTTTTCTGTCCTTCAGTCTTTTGAATTAAAAACTTATGAAGCATCTCATCTGACTTTAGGTCCCTCTCCTGCTGACAGCCCTTACTGTGAGCACCCTACTTTAGAATTCATTGCCTGCATGTCAGATAAATGCACCAAAACAATGCGCCGAGAGATAAGCACTTTTCCCCAGTGGACTACTTGTTTCTGCACAAAATAAATATGGTCCCCAATTTAGCTGCTGGTGCAATTGGCAGGCCCATAAAGCACACACTTGGGTGGTGAGCAGTAAACCCAACCCACTTAAAAATCTCTAGCACTGAAAGAGAAAAGTCATTCTAAATATGGGTAAGTGTAAATGCCACAGTCCTGTGGATGGATGGCTGGGAGAATCTTAGTACCAGCCCTTTAAGTGTTTTCAGGCTCAGCGCTGACTTCTTACCTGAGAACGGGTAGGGAGAGGGATTTAATACCACTGTGGCTCCACAAGAACATCTAGGTTCATGCAGTCACAGCTCGGATTTCCTATTCTGTCTACATGAACATTGGGGACGTCCACGGATGGTTGAAATGCATCTGTTATTGGTTGAATTGTATCCCTCCCAAAATTCATATTGAAGTCCTAACCCTCAGTACCTCAGAATGTGACTTTATTTTGAGATAGGGCATTACAGAGGCAAAGAAGTTAAAGTGAGGTCATTAGGGCAGGCCCTACCTCAGCATGACTGGTGTCTTTATACAAAGTGGGAATTTGGGCACAGAGATGTGCATGGAGGACGATGGTGTGAAGAGACACAGGACAAAGATGCCCATCTATAAACCAAGGAGAGAGGTCTGGATGGATCGTTTCCTCGCAACCCTCAGCAGGAACCAACCGTGCTGACACCTTGATTTCAGACTTCTAGCCCCCAGAACTGTGAGGCAATAAATTTCTGTGGTTTTAACCCACCCAGTCTGTGGTACTTTGTTATGCAACCTTAGCAAACTAACACAGATGTGAAAACATTAAGTAGACATCTGATGGGGAACAGGATATTTGCACAATCTCAGAGCACCTACCACAGATTACTTATTAATTACCAAAGGAAAACTGGTAATTTTAGCATGCAGAGACTCAGCAGGCCTCCACCTTAGCCAAGTGGTCAAAGTGAGGGGACAAATTGATCCTGGGTATCTCCGCATGTGATGTGGCAAGAAGGACAATCATTCAGGCTGCAAACATTCATAACCTGACCCTAATCATGGGGACACATCAGACAAACCGAAACCGAGGGGCATTCTGAAAGACAGCTGGCCTGTCCTCAAAATTGTCAGCCATGAAGGACCAAAAAAGGCTAAGAGTGCTTCCAGAGTGAGAATACAAGATGTGCTATCCAAATGCAACCTGGATTGAACACTAGGTCAGAAAGATAACTGCCATAAAAGACATTATTGAGATAATAGGCAAAATTTGTATACCGACTCTCTTTTAAATAATAGCATTGTGTCAGTGTTCAATTTCCTGAACATGAAAGCATATTGTGGTAATGTAGGAGAATGTCACGTTCTTGTGTTCTTAGGAGATACATGCTGGAATATTAACAATCGCAGGGTTATGATTTGCACAACTTAATAATGGCTCTGTAATAATAAATAATAATAAGTACATAGATGTATAAAGAGAGAGAGAAAGTAAATGTGGGAAATTTTTAATGACTGGTTATTTAGATGAAAAGCATACAATTTTTCAAAAAATACAATTTTTGGTAAGTTTGAATTTTTTTCAAAATAAAATACGTGAAAAAGAACCCCTTACGTTTTATTTGGTTGGCATGGTGTCCACTTTGGTATTCCTAACCTCCAAAAAAGGCTACCATCTTTTTCTTACTCTTTTCAAAACAATCCCCAGAGACAGTAATACGTATTACACACTTACATCAGAAAACGATCACCGTCTTCAGGACTGAAATCCTCTGGGGTTTATTCTGTCCCACAATAAAGCACACCAAGAGTGAGCATTCTCTTTTCTGCCTATTTCATACTGAAATCCCACCTCCATGCTGTGGGAATCTAAACCAGATACACATATTTTGAGACACAGAGAAAGAATAACATTGCATGATGTCCCACTGGCATGCCCTTTTCTAGTATTTGCAGAATTTAACTGTGGATGTTGTGCTGCTCATTCTTTAAATCCAACTCAAGCATTGTCTCCTTCTGGGTGCGTTCTCTGGCCTCCAGGTTAGATTCAACTTTCTGCATTGCACAGCGCCCAGTTGATGATGCTAAGTACCGATCCTTCCAAACTCTAATAATTGGCTTATTTTTCTGATTCTCTCTTAGACTACAAGCTTCTTGGTGGCAGGAATAGGGTTGTCATTTGTCTTGATCCTAAGTGCCTGGTATGGGTCAGGAGGCCCACCAGCCCGGTTTGTCTGGAAGTTAGGCAATTGCAGGATGCAGAATTTTCAGCACTAACACAGGAAAAGTCCCAGGTAAATCAGGATGAGCTGGTCACACAGGTCTTAGCACACAGGAGGCCCTCAGTAAGGGTTGATTGAGATAATGGATTGAATGGTGGCATTCTATTACAAGGTGATAGACTATGTTGCTAACTTAAATAGCTGGGGTCACAATAATGTGTGTTCTTCATCCAAAAGGGTGGGAGGGAACCGTGAAGTCGTATTTGGCTACGTGAAGACCCTGTCATGAGGATGGGTCTGGAGGCCCTCTCTGACTGCTCGCCACAGCACATTTTACAATCGGGACATGTTCTCTCTGGCATTTCAGTAGCTGTGTAGTTTCATTGTACATTTGAAGGAGATAACAGCAAAGCAGCTGTGAGAAATGTAAATGCTGTTTTAACATTCTGCATGGAAACACTGGCCAATTCACCTCCGGACTGCGATGGTAAGGCAGACAGCTGAAAAAATGGACACTATTAGCCACTGGAAAAGAACATGCCTTTGATTCCAAAGTATGTCTGAATGATGGCAGTTTATTTTTCAGTACCAGAGAAGTTTTTCAATTTTCACATCATTTAGAAACATTTTCTCATTTTATTTATTTATTTCATTTCTCAATAAGACATATAACTGCTTTGCGGTAGCCTCAGACCTGAGGTTTTTGTTTCCCACCCCACCCCCCCAGAAACCTAAGTGCACACAATTGTGAACTAAGCTTTATGTTAACAAGTGTCCTTAGTACAAATATATTACTGACAATAACAGTGAGCCCTAGTTCATTAATAACAAATCTGGTGGGAACAAAGACCTGGGACCAAATACAAAATTTATAACAATTTCCTTTCTTTGCTTCTCAAATGAGCTATTTTAGGACAAATTAACTCTATCCAATACTTGCAACTGGTATTTACCCAACACTTCAATATTGTGTTAGTAATGTTGCAATGTTAGTAATACTAGGAATACCTAAGTATTAATTTTTTTCTTCTACGCTATTGATAGATTTTGGAAGTTAAACAACTTCTGTTATGCCATAGGAATCTGATCCAAATATACAGTGTTGAGGTTCACAAGGAAAGCATGAGCCCTCTTTTAGGACTTATCTGTAGTTTATCCTGGTTTCTGACAATTTCAACTACTGATTTCAGCAGAGACATATGCTCTTAGTTTAAGGACTGTCAAAAGGCCTAGGAATACTTGACTCTGTAGGAAGACAGTGGCACTATTCTCATACCTAAGCCTACAGAACTGTAAAATTAGACAAAAGAGGGAGGAAGTTGACAAGGTGGAATGATGGCCAAAACCCAAGAGATTAGTAAAAACAATGAGCAGAAAGGACTATCCAAGCACTCTTGCCTGACAACTTCACTTAGAAAGCAATCTTGCCTCAATATTTAACCTGAATCTCATCAAGTTTCCGACTTAACAACTCACACACAGTTTACAGGAAATGCTAGGGATAGAGGAACAAATTAAGTGACACTAAAAATACATAATCAGACGCATCCGCGGATGAGAGATTATATAAGACAATTGGCTTCAAAATTGGGCAAATAAATAAATTAATTGATTAAGGCAGGAATACTGTTCTAGATGAAAAGAAACTCCAAAAACATAACAACCAAATTCTATGTGTAGACTTTAACTGAATCCTGGATTTGGAGGTGGGGATCCAGCTGTAAGAGAGAATTTGGGGAATTTTGAATATAGAATAAATAGTAGTTGATATTACTGAATTACTATTAATCTTCTTAAGTGTGATCATGATGTGATTGTGGAGGAGACTTTCCTTGCTTTTAGGAGATTCATGATGAGATATTTAGGGATAAAGCATCACTGTGTCTTTTTTCTTTTATTATTTCAGCATATTATGGGGGTATAGATGTTTAGGTTACCTATGTTGTCCTCGCTCCCCCTCCCCGCCCTAAGTCCACATTATGTCTTTTACTTGCTTAAAAATAGCAAAAAATGGTCGGGCGCAGTGGCTCACGCCTGTAATCCTAGTACTCTGGGAGGCCGAGGCGGGCAGATTGTTTGAGCTCAGGAGTTCCAGACCAGCCTGAGCAAGAGCGAGACCCCGTCTCTACTAAAAATAGAAAGAAATTAATTGGACAACTAAAATATACAGAAAAAATTAGCCAGGCATGGTGGCTTGCGCCTGTAGTCCCAGCTACTCGGGAGGCTGAGGCAGGAGGATCGCTGGAGCCCAGGAGTCTGAGGTTGCTGTGAGCTAGGCTGACGCCACGTCACTCACTCTAGCCCGGGCAACAGAGTGAGACTCTGTCTCAAAAAAAAAAAAAAAAAAAAAAAAAAATACTATTATTGAATCTGCATCAGGGGT